CAGCCCAGCAGCTGTTCAGAGCGCGCTCCCCTCTCCTGCAGGGGGGCGTGGTCAGCTGCAGCTCACAGAATCAGCCCCGTGCAAAAACAGTGCTGGAGAACAGCAAATAGAGCGAAATGAGGCATGGCTTAAAATCATGATCTGTTTGGTATTTTGAAAACAGAAACGTATAAATATACCTTATATAGGTATGGCCCTACAATATATCATTTAAATATAGCATGATAGGTCCACTTTAAGTTAATTATCAGTTTTATTTCTATATGATTTTGGCCGCTACAGTTGTAGTGATTCACTTGCAGGTCATGCAAAAAAATGTTTACTTACGCCATCTCTAATTTTTTACATCTTTTAACAGCTTTCAAAGACATATGGGTCTGTGTTTACGGTATACTTTGGAACCAATAAAGTGGTGGTGCTGGCTGGATACAAGTCAGTAAAGGATGCTCTGGTCAGCAATGCAGAAGCGTTTGGAGAAAGAGAAATCTCCCCTATTTTTTATGACATGAATGAAGGTCACGGTAGGGTTTACCTTTACATAATCTTTAATATACAGTATCTTTCAAATAGAAAAAACATTGTAGTGATAATACCTACCATTTATTTGTGTGAGTCAAATTACACTTGAATATTGTGTTGAATAATACAGACATGACTACTACAGATTATATTTAACATGCATGTCATGTTTAAAAGGAATCCTGTTTGCAAATGGAGAATCATGGAAAGAGCTGAGACGTTTTGCCCTCAGCACCCTGAGAGACTTTGGCATGGGCAAAAGAATAGCGGAGCAACAAATCCTAGAGGAATGCCACCATCTGACCCAAATGTTTGAAGATCACAAAGGTATGGAGTAAAAAGCATTTTTTTATTCATCACCCATGTTTTACAGTTTTGTTGTAGCAAAGGTAAATCATGGTGAGGTTCATTTTAATATTAAAAGGCTGCCCTCTTTGTTTTGTTCTGAAATCCTAATAATATCAGTATTCTCAATGCCATTTTACAGGGAAACCATTTGATACAGCGCGCCTGTTGAATTATGCAGCATCCAATATCATCTCCTCTATCGTGTATGGCAGCAGATTCGAATACAATGACCCCAGATTCAAGGAAATGGTCAGAAGAGCCAACCAGTCCATATGCATTGTTGGATCTGCACAAATCCAGGTAGGCCTCATACTGCTTCGGTTGAAAAATACATGATTTAGGGACAACATGAAAGCTTTTGTTGAATATTTTTGCAAATGGTCAACACCATAAGCTTTTAGCAGAAAGTCCAATGGAAGGTTTAGTACTGTCTTCAGGTCTTTTATACAGATTTGGGCTGGTTGGTGTAAGAAATGTGTGTGTTGTTGTATGTTTGGGTAAACATCCATTATCTCTTTAAAGGTGCTGGTGGAGCATCATTCTAGTATCAGCTTAAATAGTTGCTTTAGGGTAACATTTAACTGACAAAACAATAAAAGAATGATTGAAACTAAAGTATGGAGATGGGAAACGTTTATTTTACTGTATCAAATTACTGATCAGGTGTGTCTTAACATTGAATACACTGTACAGTATATATATGTTGGGTGTGGATTTTCTTCATTAATCTTTGTTTTCACAGCTCTACAACATGTTTCCCAGGCTGGCCAGTTGGATAAATAACCGTCAGCTGCTTTTACGAAATGTTGAGATGACCATAAGAGATGTCAAGGCTTTAGTCAAGAATCTGAAAGAGACTCTGAACCCTAGCGTCTGCAGAGGGCTTGTCGACTGTTTTCTGATTCGGAAGGAGAAAGAAGAAGTAAGACAACCTCACTGCATATGCATCAAACAAAGAGAACATTGTATTTTATAACAATATGTGGGTGCTCTTTCTCTCAGGACTCTTGTGTGAAGGACACTCACTACAACGAGAAGAATTTGATATTTACAATAACCAACCTGTTTTCTGCTGGTACCGACACCACAGCAACTACACTGAGATGGGGTTTGCTGCTTATGGCTAAATATCCGCATGTACAAGGTAAAAGAAAGATGAGGCTTGTAGGCGTGCATTTATATTTGCACCTGTGGATGCCCATCAAATAAATCAAGTTTAGATAGATTAAAATGTGGTTGTTATTATATAAGTTCAAATATATATATTACGATAAACCATATATGCTGGAAACCACTTAAAGGGAAAGTAGCAGGCATTGAAATAAAGCTAAGTAAGTAACCTTCGGGAGATAACAAGAGTACAGTAGTTTTAGTCCTCCCTCTTAAGTCACTACCCTTTTGAAACCTTTTTTTTTGCTTTTACCTTTTTTTCTATTTTTTACAGATTGTGTTTTTATGCAGGCTTTATTTTCAAGCTAATTTCAGGGAACACCAGTCTTACTTAAACTATATTACAGAAACATTTTCTTCTGTAGATTTCGAAGGCAGAGGAAATGTAACGCAAATTACATTCCCATCAGCCTCAGCTGCACTTTGCGTTTAGTGATTATAAACCATTATGGTAAACATGGTAAACGATACATCTGATAGCATCGTCATTTTGAACAGGTTAGCATACTGACTTTAGCATTTTACCCCCAAAAGTACAGCTTCACAAAGCCATTGGCAGGGATGTGAACTCTTAGTCAAGATACAAATAACTTATGAATATACATATTTTTAACAGTTATTGATTTTGTGTTTTCAGACCAGGTCCAGGAGGAGATGAGCAGAGTGATAGGAAGCCGTCAGGCAGGGGTCGATGACCGGAAGAACCTGGCGTACACTGATGCTGTCATCCATGAGATACAGAGACTGGCCAACATTGTCCCCATGGCCATTCCTCATAAAACCAGCCGAGATGTCACCTTCCAACATCTTCCTTGTCTACTTCATCAAAGAGGTCAGGTGTTAAGGTGTTTCAATACTTAGCCACAACAAAATATGCCGGAGATTCTCATTCTCTCCATACTTGTTATGATACACCTTGCCCTCCGCTTTTTCCTACAGGGGACTACTGTGCTTCCTCTTCTTACTTCTGTCCTGTATGATGAGAGTGAATGGGAAACACCACACACTTTCAACCCTTCCCACTTCCTGGATAAGGAGGGTGCATTTTTCAGGAGGGACGCCTTCATGCCATTTTCTGCAGGTACCAACTTTGTATTTAAATATATTACCATTCTAAAGATGCGATCCAGTTTACCAACATGCAAATCAATTTTTCTCTCAAAGGTCGCAGGGTGTGTCTGGGGGAGAGTCTGGCCAAGATGGGGCTGTTCCTCTTCTTCACCTTCCTCCTCCAGCGCTTTCGTTACACTCCTCCACCTGGAGTTACAGAGGATGAACTGGATCTCACTCCAGCTGTGGGCTTCACCCTCAGCCCGTCACCTCATGAGCTGTGTGCCGTTAGACGCCAATGAGTAATGGAGCTAGGGCACTGCATTATAACTGCTTGTAAAAATGAATTGTGTTTAACTCTTAATCAGCTAGCATTTGTCCTATTCTCATGAAGTTGTCTGAAATTGTATTTTAGAAATAATGTTATATTACTATAACATTTTTAGAACTGCCTCTTCATACAGCTGATACCTCATGTTTATCTTCAATGTACAATCAATTGCATTTATTTACCAATCTTATATTTTTGTCACCATTTTTTACCTTGAAAATAAATACTTAATAATTCAAAGAAAATTCTGGATTCAAGCGTTGTGCTTCTGCTTGCTAACTTGCTAAAAAGTACACACAGGTCCTTGATCATTCATTGCTGCCCATTGTAGGCCTACTTCTCTAGAAATAAAAGGACTATTTTGTTTGCATACAGTAAGCACAGTGTAGGTCGATTTAAATAGGTTTCTTTTGTGCCGTTGAGATGGTGGTGAAGAACTTAAGATAGCTCTCAGCCTAAAAGCATTCAAGAACTTTGAGTGAATTGAGAAATGCTGTTTGTTTGTAACAAATGCTTAACTAGCCAAATAGTCCCACCAAATAAACACTAAGATTTTTGTGACCAGCTTTTGTTTATTTCAGTTTTTTATCTTCATATTTGTTTTTCCTTTTTGCCGTGGGGGGACAAAAATCCTCCTTGGGTTTCTTGAAATGCGCTATATAAATCCAAATGATTTGTATTATTATTTAGGCTTCTTCTAAAGTTATAAGTCATTGAACTCATAAAATGCTCACTTTGTGTTAACAAACCTTAACTGTGTCTTACTTTCCACACGCATATGTGCAGCTTTGTGTTTTTTATTTAAGTTGTAAAATGTGGTTTCAGGTTCTTGTCAAGGTTGGGGAAAATCAGGACCCAAATGCAGGATGAGTAGAAGCGGGTTTTAAACAAAAAGCGAGCTTTATTTAACAAAAAAGCTGTTGACCATGAAACAAGAATAAATCCCAAAACTGGTAGCATCTAGACAAAAACTGACAGGAACAAACAGAGGTGCAAGGAGGACAGGCTTTTACATATACTGGTTCTATCCATGGCTCAAACAATTTAGCATATTCTTGTTTTTCTCAATCTACTCTTTGAATATCCTGCCTGTATTCACCAGATCTTGCATTTGAATTGCTTAATCATGCCTGGCAGATTGATTAGATCTGTGATGGGCTGGCTGACCTGCTCATTCACACCTAAACAAGTAGCCTTTACAAAAGGAGGTGAGGACTTTGTGGTCCAAAGCCCCATTAAGAGAGGAATAGAAAGGCTACATCTTGACAGAAACTTGAGGAAAAACTAGAAGACCTGTATGGGACAATCAAGCATTTATTTCTTCCTTGAACACTGAAAACAGCTGTTCGACGACAATATTTTCTAAAGGAAGTCAAGTCCCGGTGACAGCAGGATCATGTTAGAGGATCTTTTCCAGTCTAGCACTTCAGTCTTTTTGTCTGTGGCCATTGTGGGTCTGCTTGTCCTCCATCTTGTTTACTCAAGCTTCAGCTCCAAAAGCAGGAAGAGGGAGCCACCGGGGCCTAGACCATTTCCCCTGCTTGAAAACTTGCTTCAGGTAGATCTCAAGAGACTCGACCACTCTCTTGTTGATGTGAGAACTGTTTTGTTTGTCTTAAGCTATAAGGTATTTTCATTGCTTTAATATGAGACAAATAAAACTGTATTTTAACATTGTTAATTCAATTAGAATTCCTACAGAGGAGAGTCTGTAGACAGTCAGTCTCACTATTTATTGCTCCATCTTTTTAGCTGTCCAAAAAATATGGACCAGTGTTCACAGTCTACTTAGGAATGCAGAAGGTGGTGGTCCTGGCAGGATACAAGACAGTCAAACAGGCTCTGGTCAACCATGCTGAGGAGTTTGGAGAACGAGAAGTCACTCCAATATTCGATGATTTCAACAAAGGACACGGTAAAGAAATGTTTCTTTGCTTTGTTTTACTAGCCTGATTTTGTCCTTGTCTAAACATGTAAAAAAACTCTTCTATCAAGGCATACAGCTGGGGCTTGAGATCTCATGGCTGTCATAATTGTTACATTAAGTCCTAAAACAATGAATGTGTTTGGTATTCTGCTGTATTACAGATATACAACGCGTTTCCTTGGCTGGGACCTTGTATTAAAAACTGGAGGGATTTGATGAAACTGGTGGAGGACAGCATAAAGGAAACAAAGAGCATGATAGCTGACCTGAAGGAGACTCTGAACCCTGACATGTGCCGATGCTTTGTGGATGCATTCCAGACCCGTAAACTGAGTCTTGAGGTAATATGTCTAACTCCAGTGAAACCACCCCGGTTGATGATACTGATCACTGATTAATTTGCCTGTGGCCCTGAGAGATCCTCACACTGCAAATTAAGGAAACACATGCAAAAAGACACAACAGGGTAAGGCAAGGCAAGGCAAGGCAAGTTTATTTATATAGCACCTTTCAACACAAGGTAATTCAAAGTGCTTTACAAAAATGGAAGACATTTTAAAAATGGCATTTAAAATCAGTCATTAAAAAGGAAAGATAATAAAATAAACATTAAAAGAAAAAATACATGGATAAAAGTTAAAAGTTACAGTGCAGTTTAAGATGTGAATAGTTCAATTAAAAGCAGCGGCAAAAAGAAAAGTCTTCAGCCTGGATTTAAAAGTAGTAAGAGTTGCAGCGGACCTGCAGGTTTCTGGGAGTTTGTTCCAGATATTCGGAGCATAATAACTGAATGCTGCTTTACCATGTTTAGTTCTGACTCTGGGGACCGAAAGCTGACCAGTCCCTGAAGACCTGAGGGTTCTGGATGGTTCATAATTTAGCAGTAGGTCAGACATGTATTTTGGGCCTAAACCATTCAAAGCTTTATAAACCAGCAACAATATTTTGAAATCTATTCTTTGACACACAGGAAGCCAGTGTAAAGACTTCAGAACAGGAGTGATGTGATCCACTTTCTTAGTGTTAGTGAGGACTCGAGCAGCGGCGTTCTGAATTAGCTGCAGCTTTCTAATAGATTTTTTAGTGAGGCCTGTAAAGACACCATTGCAGTAGTCGAGTCTACTGAAGAGAAAAGCATGGACAAGTTTTTCCAAATCCTGCTGTGACATTAGTCCTTTAATCCTAGATATGTTCTTTAGGTGATAGTAGGCTGATTTAGTAACTGTTTTAATGTGACTGTTGAAACTCAGGTCAGAGTCCATGACTACACCTAGATTTCTGGCTTTATCTGTTGTTTTGAACATTGCAGACTGAAGCTCAGCGCTAACTTTTATACGTTCTGCCTTGGCTCCAAAAACCATTACCTCAGTTTTATCTTTGTTTAATTGGAGAAAGTTCTGACACATCCAGTCATTGATTTGTTCAATGCACTTACTCAGTGTTTGAATTGGAGCATAATCTCCTGGTGAAATTGTTACGTAAATTTGTGTGTCATCCGCATAGCTATGGTAACTTATTTTGTTGTTTTTCATTATCTGAGCCAGTGGTAGCATGTAGATGTTAAAGAGAAGAGGCCCCAAGATGGAGCCTTGAGGTACCCCACATGTCATATTTGTCAACTCAGATGTGTATTTACCTATAGAAACAAAGTTTTTTCTGTCCTTTAAGTAGGACTCAAACCAATTTAGAACTGTTGCCGAAAGTCCCACCCAGTTTTCTAGTCGGTCTAGTAATATGTTGTGGTCAACAGTGTCAAATGCAGCACTGAGATCTAATAATACTAACACTGAAGTTCTGCCACTGTCTGTGTTTAAGTGGATGTCATTGAAGACCTTTACAAGAGCAGTCTCAGTGCTGTGGTTTGGACGAAATCCTGACTGGAACACATCCAAACAGTTATTTAAATGCAAGAAGTTACTCAACTGTTGAAATACTACTTTTTCAATGATTTTACCTAGAAATGGCAGGTTTGATATTGGCCTGTAATTGTTCATTACTGAGGCATCTAGATTATTCTTTTTTAAGAGCGGTTTAATGACTGCAGTTTTCAGGGCCTCTGGAAAAATACCTGAGTGAAGAGATGTGTTTACTATATGAAGTAGATCTGAGGCCATGCAAGGAAAAACATCTTTGAAAAATCCTGTTGGAATAATATCAAGGCAGCAGGAGGAGGATTTCAGAAGTTGAATAATGTCCTCTAAGTTTTTACCATTAATCTGATGGAATTGTGTCATGGTGTTTGAATTGATATTAGGTGGACATAGGGACAAAACATTTGCTGTACCTGATGTAGAGGCACTGACTGCTTGTCTAATTTTCTGAATTTTGTCAGTGAAGAAGGAGGCAAAATCATTGCACGCCCTGGTGGATAGAAATTCAGAGGCTACTGACACTGGGGGGTTAGTTAGTCTGTCGACGGTAGCAAACAAGGCACGTGCGTTGTTTTTGTTTTTGGTAATGATGTCAGAGAAGAAAGACTGTCGTGCGTTTTTCAATTCCAAATTATAAAGGCCAAGTCTCTCTTTATAGATTTCAAAGTGAACCTGGAGATTTGTTTTTCGCCACCTACGTTCAGCTTTTCGACACTCTCTTTTTTCTGTTCTCACGGTCATGGCCTTTCTCCATGGAGATATTTTCTTGCTAATCACTTCCTTTACCTTAGTTGGAGCAATGGTATCTATAACATTTTTAATTTTTGAATTAAAATGATCTACTAGCTCATTTACTGAGATGTTAGCAGGGGCAAGTGTGGATGAGAAATTATGAGTAAACATTTCCCTAGTATTTTCAGTTAAATATCGCTTTGTGGTTACCTCTTTCTGAACATTTTTGTGAACAGAAATAGAGCTCTCAAAGAAAACACAGGAATGATCAGAGAGTGCAACATCAGTCACCACAACCTTTGAGATATTCAGACCCTTTGAGATAATTAAGTCCAGAGTGTGCCCCTTATTGTGCGTGGGCTCCGCCACATGCTGAGTCAGTCCATAGTTATCAAGAACACAAAACAGTTCTTTAGCCCCTCTGTCCTGGGGGTTGTCAACATGGATGTTAAAATCACCAACAATGACTAAACGGTCAAAGTCAATACACACTATAGACAGCAGTTCAGTAAAATCATCAAAAAAGCTTGCACAGTATTTGGGTGGTCTATAGATATTTAGGAACAGAGCTCGAGAGGAGCATTTCAGCTGAAGGGCCACATATTCAAAAGAAGCAAAGTCCCCATAAGATGTCTTCCTGCATTGAATGGAATCATTGAACAAAATAGCAACTCCACCCCCTTTCTTATGCATTCTTTCCTGACTCATAAAACTAAAGTTGGGAGGGGTTGATTCGATAAGAACAGCTGCACTGTTATTTTGTTCAATCCAAGTTTCCGTTAAAAACATAAAATCGAGATTGTGCTCAGTGATAAAATCATTGATTAAAAATGTTTTTCCTGCCAAAGACCTGACATTTAATAAAGCTAGTTTAAGTTTGTTAAATACACTATCAGTAAAACATTTTGTGGCAAGCTGTGGCTGACATGGAATCACTGCTAAATTTGATAACCTCACACAAACGTTTGAGCACTTCCTGTTTCTAAGCTGATTTACCGCTCTTAATCTATTACCTATCAACACAGATATCGGCAAAGCTACTGGCAGGCAGGGCCCCGGCATGTGCTGGAAAGAGTTGAGAGTGCCATATGCCCTTGAGCCTGGACCCAGCACATATCAGTAAAAGTTTGTTGCGTTTTGTACACACACATCCTTATCAGGCTTCGGAGACTGCAGATGCTTTCTTGAAGGGATGGGAGGTGGTTGACATAGGCACAGTGATGAAGACGGGGGAGATGGTGCGCGTCTCTGCTTCGGTGATTTTGGTGGGCGTCGTTGAGGGGCGGGGGTAAAGGACATGCTGCCAACCCTGCATCTCGCCTTCATGCGGTCATCGAACTCCAGGGGGGAGGGCGAGGGTGAAAGGGTGAGCGGAGAGTAGAGAGAGCTGGGAGATGAATGAAGAGTATCCTCCAAGGCGTTGACAGGGGGGGTGACGGGCAGTGGAGACTCCTCCATTTGTGTCATAGGTCTCCCATAATCAGAACATTCCTCAGGCGGGTGCAGTGATACTTCTTCAGGGTTTTCTGCACAATGTGTTGTGTCTTTCTCCTGTTTTGATTCCTCTTGCCGCTTGTCCTTGGCAGAGGGAACAGATTGCTGACGCAGGCAGTTGAATATGTTAGAGATAAACAATTTCACTCCTGACTTGTTCAGGCAAACTCCATCTGCCTTAAAAAGATGTCTGCGATCCCAGAAAAAGTTAAAATTGTCAATAAAATGGACAGAATGGTCAGTGCAGGCAGCTGAAAGCCACATGTTCAATGCAAACAGTCTGCTGAATCTCTCCACTCCTCTTCTGACTGGCGGTAGAGGGCCACTGATGAACACCTCCGCATTTAGAGAGCTGACAGTTTCCAACAGACATTTAAAGTCTTCTTTCAGCGCTTCTGACTGTTGTTTCACAACATCATTTAAAGAGGGTAAAGAGGTTAACCTATTGCAAGATATCCTCACTCTACCCTGCCATGCATTGGTAAACAGACCTATGTTTATATGACTTTTTACAGACCAGTCAAACCGCTCCTTAAGTCTTCAGCCTCCAAAACATTAATCTCCAAATCCTCCTGTTATATTCGTTTTTTGTAACAGCAATAATATTCGTGGGTCAATTTGACCCAGTGCATGTTTAATTATCCAAAAATGGTCAGAAGCCCCAAAATCCAGATATTTTTTTGTACATAGTTTGTACCTTTTATTACTATCAATGAAATCAATATTTAGTGCAATTGTGTTATTCACCTCTCACAGATCATGGTTCCATTAGAATAAGTCACTCGTTTTTCACAAAACATATACATTCAAACACATTTTTCTATTTTCTTTTTTACATTGGAAAAACCTTGATATAAAATACATTAGTTTTGCATAACATAACATTTTTAAAATTACTTTTAAAATGTTCCAACTTGTTTTCCAATTGGTTGATGTTGATACATAGAGACGAGACACCTCTTCTGTTCAGGGTCAAATTGACCCGTTCACTTAGAATCAAGCCAAATGAGTCATAAGGATTTGTATTGAAAGTATTTTATATAACAGCAATTAAGAATGTGTGTGTGTGTGTGTGTGTGTGTGTGTGTATGTGTGTGTGTGTGTGTGTGTGTGTGTGTGTGTGTGTGTGTGTGTGTGTGTGTGTGTGTGTGTGTGTGTGTGTGTATGTGTGTATGTGTGTGTGTGTGTGTGTGTGTGTGCGCAGGACTGTATCCTCCCACCAGCGGCAGAGCCTATATCAACGGCTACGACATCTGCCAGGACATGGCTCTGATCCGCCGCAGCCTCGGACTCTGTCCCCAGCATGACGTCCTGTTTGATAACCTCACCGTCAGTGAGCACCTGCTCTTCTACGCACAGGTACTCACACAATCATGTACTAGTACACACTTAACCCAGCAGTGGCTCAGTCGGTAGGGGCTTGGACTGTGAGCCGTAAGGTTGTCGGTTCAAGTCCACGAACATACCTAAATATGGAGTATGGACTGCTACTTGGAGAGGTACCAGTTCACCTCCTGGGCCCTGCCGTGGTGCCCTTGAGCAAGGCACCGGACAACCCCCTTCCCCCCCACTCCCATTGCTACCCGGGCGCTGTGCAGAGAACACATTTCACTGTGTGTGCTGTGTGCTCTGCATTTGTGACCATTACAGAGGGTTTCATCCTCCAATGCTATCTTCTATCTATTATACAAAAAGAAAACTGCAAATACACATTAGTTTATTGTTATCCTGCTCGTTCATTGTTGGTAGAGAAACTTATTGTGCTGTGTTCTCTTTATGTCTTTAGGTACACCTGTACAAACGTATACATTAGCTCATCCATAAAAGCAACTTTCACAAAGTTTACAATTGCTTGTTTTTGTTTTCTAGAGGTCAACTTTATTTTATAATTGGTGTTTTAATCTTCTCAATATCCAGCTGAAAGGCTTCTCCAGAGACAAGATTCCAGACGAGGTAGACCGCACCATCCGTATCCTGAACCTCGAAGATAAGTGCCACGCTCGCTCAAAGACCCTCTCCGGTGGCATGAAGAGAAAGCTCTCCATTGGTATTGCCCTCATTGGAGACTCCAAGGTGAAGAATGTCATGAGCATTATTCACATTCCTTCCTATTTATCCAATCCTTCCTTCATATTGAACATGTCTCATCCCTTTATTTTCAATCTTATCTATCTTCAGGTGGTCATGTTGGATGAGCCCACATCAGGTATGGATCCGTCAGCTCGACGTGCCACCTGGGACCTCCTGCAGGGGGAGAAGAGGGGTCGCACCATCCTGCTCACCACACCCTTCATGGACGAGGCTGACCTGCTCGGCGACCGCATCGCCATCATGGCAGGAGGAGAGCTGCAGTGCTGCGGGTCACCACTATTCCTTAAGAACAAATATGGTAAGAGTTGAGTGGAAATACTGTTGCAGCAGGAAGTCACTGGCAGTAAGTAACCCAATGGATTGTAGGATTGTTCAAATACATCCATCCTTTTTTATTTAACTGTTATTATTTCTGTTTCAGCAACTTATATAATCATGCTTACAATAGTGTTTGTTTTTCTCCTTTTTTTTGCTCTTTTATTTACAGTTTATAGATTATTAAACCAACAATAAAATATCACCTTCACTTTAAGCATTAATTGTGATAGTTATGGTAAGATGCAAATGAGAATAAAAAGTAATAATTGTAACACAATGGGAAAGGAATAGAGTTCACTAAAGGGAATTGTGTATGTGTGTGTGTGTGTGTGTGTGTGTGTGTGTGTGTGTGTGTGTGTGTGTGTGTGTGTGTGTGTGTGTGTGTGTGTGTGTGTCCTTGAAAGTATTTTTCGTAGATTTGACCCTGAATGTAACAGGAGGGTTAATGTCCTTCTGCTTTGACTGCCAGGATTGGATCTGTGTCACAAACACCGTCCTCGTGGGCGGGGACCAGCCCATAATGCTCCTTTACCTAAAGCTCAGTCAACAACATTCCATATTATTTGGGCTTGCATGAGGAGCGTGAACACCACGGTGTTATCTGCAGGGCTAAGCACTGTCAACAGCAGAACAAATGTCTCTTTGGCACGATTTTGTTCTCATCTTTTTCTCTAATCCCACCACTTTGTTGGGGTTGGTGGCTCTCCTGCTCATTCTCTATCTTGTATCCAGTAGTTTAATCACCAAGGAAATAGGGAAGGGGCCCCCAGGACCGAGGCCTCTTCCCCTGCTTGGTAACCTGTTGCAGCTTGATCTCAAGAGACCCTACAAAACCCTCTATGAGGTGAGCTATCCTAAAGCAAATCCATTTTGATACAGTTGTTGTTGTTGGAGCTATATATCTCTTTATATTATGTAATACTTAAACATTTATGTTCTTGCTGTTTATAGTGTTTATTGTAAATGTAGCCTATTCCTAGTTATTGTCGTAAGTTAAAGTAGTTTCTATGCTTTTATTTTGAAGGCATGTTTGGGCACTGGGTGATTAGAGCACCTGGTGTAATTGTATATATTGGAGACAGGTGGTGGTGGGAGCCAGAGCACTAGTAGGCAAACGGTTTTTTACCAGGGTTTTCCAGGCACAAGAAAGGAAAGCCATAGGAAAGGCTTAAGGAACAAACCATAGGAAACCTGTTGAATGATATTGGATCATAATAAAATGCACAAACGGATACTCTTGTCTAGACCTGTCTAGACCTGGATCATTGCCCTCCGTAAGTTCCGCTAACTAGTGCCTCAGCGGCAGTGTTATTTTAAGTTAATTATCAGTCTTATTTCTATATGATTTTGGCCGCTACAGTTGTAGTGATTCACTTGCAGGTCATGCAAAAAAATGTTTACTTACGCCATCTCTAATTTTTTACATCTTTTAACAGCTTTCAAAGACATATGGGTCTGTGTTTACGGTATACTTTGGAACCAAAAAAGTGGTGGTGCTGGCTGGATACAAGTCAGTAAAGGATGCTCTGGTCAGCAATGCAGAAGAGTTTGGAGAAAGAGAAATCTCCCCTATTTTTTATGACATGCATGAAGGTCACGGTAGGATTTACCTTTACATAATCTTTAATATACAGTATCTTTCAAACAATAGAAAAAACATTGTAGTGATAATACCTACCATTTATTTGTTGTGAGTCAAATTACACTTGAATATTGTGTTGAATAATACAGACATGACTACTACAGATTATATTTAACATGCATGTCATGTTTAAAAGGAATCCTGTTTGCAAATGGAGAATCATGGAAAGAGCTGAGACGTTTTGCCCTCAGCACCCTGAGAGACTTTGGCATGGGCAAAAGAATAGCGGAGCAAAAAATCCTAGAGGAATGCCACCATCTGACCCAAATGTTTGAAGATCACAAAGGTATGGAGTAAAAAGCATTTTTTTATTCATCACCCATGTTTTACAGTTTTGTTGTAGCAAAGGCAAATCATGGTGAGGTTCATTTTAATATTAAAAGGCTGCCCTCTTTGTTTTCTTCTGAAATCCTAATAATATCAGTATTCTCAATGCCATTTTACAGGGAAACCATTTGATACAGCGCGTCCGTTGAATTATGCAACATCCAATATCATCTCCTCTATCGTGTATGGCAGCAGATTCGAATACAATGACCCCAGATTCAAGGAAATGGTCAGAAGAGCCAACCAGGCCATATGCATTGTTGGATCTGCACAAATCCAGGTAGGCCTCATACTGCTTCGGTTGAAAAATACATGATTTAGGGACAACATGAAAGCTTTTGTTGAATATTTTTGCAAATGGTCAACACTATAAGCTTTTAGCAGAAAGTCCAATGGAAGGTTTAGTACTGTCTTCAGGTCTTTTATACAGATTTGGGCTGGTTGGTGTAAGAAATGTGTGTGTTGTTGTATGTTTGGGTAAACATCCATTATCTCTTTACACAAGGTGCTGGTGGAGCATCATTCTAGTATCAGCTTAAATAGTTGCTTTAGGGTAACATTTAACTGACAAAACAATAAAAGAATGATTGAAACTAAAGTATGGAGATGGGAAACGTTTATTTTACTGTATCAAATTACTGATCAGGTGTGTCTTAACATTGAATACACTGTACAGTATATATGTTGGGTGTGCATTTTCTTCATTAATCTTTGTTTTCACAGCTCTACAACATGTTTCCCAGGCTGGCCAGTTGGATAAAGAACCGTCAGCTGCTTTTACGAAATGTTGAGATGACCATAAGAGATGTCAAGGCTTTAGTCAAGAATCTGAAAGAGACTCTGAACCCTAGCGTCTGCAGAGGGCTTGTCGACTGTTTTCTGATTCGGAAGGAGAAAGAAGAAGTAAGACAACCTCACTGCATATGCATCAAACAAAGAGAACATTGTATTTTATAACAATATGTGGGTGCTCTTTCTCTCAGGACTCTTGTGTGAAGGACACTCACTACAACGAGAAGAATTTGATATTTACAATAACCAACCTGTTTTCTGCTGGTACCGACACCACAGCAGCTACACTGAGATGGGGTTTGCTGCTTATGGCTAAATATCCGCATGTACAAGGTAAAAGAAAGATGAGGCTTGTAGGCGTGCATTTATATTTGCACCTGTGGATGCCCATCAAATAAATCAAGTTTAGATAGATTAAAATGTGGTTGTTATTATATAAGTTCAAATATATATATATTACGATAAACCATTATGCTGGAAACCACTTAAAGGGAAAGTAGCAGGCATTGAAATAAAGCTAAGTAAGTAACCTTCGGGAGATAACAAGTACAGTAGTTTTAGTCCTCCCTCTTAAGTCACTACCCTTTTGAAACCTTTTTTTTGCTTTTACCTTTTTTTCTATTTTTTACAGATTGTGTTTTTATGCAGGCTTTATTTTCAAGCTCATTTCAGGGAATACCAGTCTTACTTAAACTATATTACAGAAACATTTTCTTCTGTAGATTTCGAAGGCAGAGGAAATGTAACGCAAATTACATTCCCATCAGCCTCAGCTGCACTTTGCTTTTAGTGATTATAAACCATTATGGTAAACATGGTAAACGATACATCTGATAGCATCGTCATTTTGAACAGGTTAGCATACTGACTTTAGCATTTTACCCCCAAAAGTACAGCTTCACAAAGCCACTGGCAGGGATGTGAACTCTTAGTCAAGATACAAATAACTTATTAATATACATATTATTAACAGTTATTGATTTTCTGTGTTCAGACCAGGTCCAGGAGGAGATGAGCAGAGTGATAGGAAGCCGTCAGGCAGGGGTCGATGACCGGAAGAACCTGCCGTACACTGATGCTGTCATCCATGAGATACAGAGACTGGCCAACATTGTCCCCATGGCCATTCCTCATAAAACCAGCCGAGATGTCACCTTCCAAGGATACTTCATCAAAGAGGTCAGGTGTTAAGGTGTTTCAATACTTAGCCACAACAAAATATGCCGGAGATTCTCATTCTCTCCATACTTGTTATGATACACCTTGCCCTCCGCTTTTTCCTACAGGGGACTACTGTGCTTCCTCTTCTTACTTCTGTCCTGTATGATGAGAGTGAATGGGAAACACCACACACTTTCAACCCTTCCCACTTCCTGGATAAGGAGGGTACATTTTTCAGGAGGGACGCCTTCATGCCATTTTCTGCAGGTACCAACTTTGTATTTAAATATATTACCATTCTAAAGATGCGATCCAGTTTACCAACATGCAAATCAATTTTTCTCTCAAAGGTCGCAGGGTGTGTCTGGGGGAGAGTCTGGCCAAGATGGAGCTGTTCCTCTTCTTCACCTTCCTCCTCCAGCGCTTTCGTTACACTCCTCAACCTGGAGTTACAGAGGATGAACTGGATCTCACTCCAGCTGTGGGCTTCACCCTCAGCCCGTCACCTCATGAGCTGTGTGCCGTTAGACGCCAATGAGTAATGGAGCTAGGGCACTGCATTATAACTGCTTGTAAAAATGAATTGTGTTTAACTCTTAATCAGCTAGCATTTGTCCTATTCTCATGAAGTTGTCTGAAATTGTATTTTAGAAATAATGTTATATTACTATAACATTTTTAGAACTGCCTCTTCATACAGCTGATACCTCATGTTTATCTTCAATGTACAATCAATTGCATTTATTTACCAATCTTATATTTTTGTCACCATTTTTTACCTTGAAAATAAATACTTAATAATTCAAAGAAAATTCTGGATTCAAGCGTTGTGCTTCTGCTTGCTAACATGCTAAAAAGTACACACAGGTCCTTGATCATTCATTGCTGCCCATTGTAGGCCTACTTCTCTAGAAATAAAAGGACTATTTTGTTTGCATACAGTAAGCACAGTGTAGGTCGATTTAAATAGGTTTCTTTTGTGCCGTTGAGATGGTGGTGAAGAACTTAAGATAGCTCTCAGCCTAAAAGCATTCAAGAACTTTGAGTGAATTGAGAAATGCTGTTTGTTTGTAACAAATGCTTAACTAGCCAAATAGTCCCACCAAATAAACACTAAGATTTTTGTGACCAGCTTTTGTTTATTTCAGTTTTTTATCTTCATATTTGTTTTTCCTTTTTGCCGTGGGGGGACAAAAATCCTCCTTGGGTTTCTTGAAATGCGCTATATAAATCCAAATGATTTGTATTATTATTTAGGCTTCTTCTAAAGTTATAAGTCATTGAACTCATAAAATGCTCACTTTGTGTTAACAAACCTTAACTGTGTCTTACTTTCCACACGCATATGTGCAGCTTTGTGTTTTTTATTTAAGTTGTAAAATGTGGTTTCAGGTTCTTGTCAAGGTTGGGGAAAATCAGGACCCAAATGCAGGATGAGTAGAAGCGGGTTTTAAACAAAAAGCTAGCTTTATTTAACAAAAAAGCTGTTGACCATGAAACAAGAATAAATCCCAAAACTGGTAGCATCTAGACAAAAACTGACAGGAACAAACAGAGGTGCAAGGAGGACAGGCTTTTACATATACTGGTTCTATCCATGGCTCAAAACAATTTAGCATATTCTTGTTTTTCTCAATCTACTCTTTGAATATCCTGCCTGTATTCACCAGATCTTGCATTTGAATTGCTTAATCATGCCTGGCAGATTGATTAGATCTGTGATGGGCTGGCTGACCTGCTCATTCACACCTAAACAAGTAGCCTTTACAAAAGGAGGTGAGGACTTTGTGGTCCAAAGCCCCATTAAGAGAGGAATAGAAAGGCTACATCTTGACAGAAACTTGAGGAAAAACTAGAAGACCTGTATGGGACAATCAAGCATTTATTTCTTCCTTGAACACTGAAAACAGCTGTTCGACGACAATATTTTCTAAAGGAAGTCAAGTCCCGGTGACAGCAGGATCATGTTAGAGGATCTTTTCCAGTCTAGCACTTCAGTCTTTTTGTCTGTGGCCATTGTGGGTCTGCTTGTCCTCCATCTTGTTTACTCAAGCTTCAGCTCCAAAAGCAGGAAGAGGGAGCCACCGGGGCCTAGACCATTTCCCCTGCTTGAAAACTTGCTTCAGGTAGATCTCAAGAGACTCGACCACTCTCTTGTTGATGTGAGAACTGTTTTGTTTGTCTTAAGCTATAAGGTATTTTCATTGCTTTAATATGAGACAAATAAAACTGTATTTTAACATTGTTAATTCAATTAGAATTCCTACAGAGGAGAGTCTGTAGACAGTCAGTCTCACTATTTATTGCTCCATCTTTTTAGCTGTCCAAAAAATATGGACCAGTGTTCACAGTCTACTTAGGAATGCAGAAGGTGGTGGTCCTGGCAGGATACAAGACAGTCAAACAGGCTCTGGTCAACCATGCTGAGGAGTTTGGAGAACGAGAAGTCACTCCAATATTCGATGATTTCAACAAAGGACACGGTAAAGAAATGTTTCTTTGCTTTGTTTTACTAGCCTGATTTTGTCCTTGTCTAAACATGTAAAAAAACTCTTCTATCAAGGCATACAGCTGGGGCTTGAGATCTCATGGCTGTCATAATTGTTACATTAAGTCCTAAAACAATGAATGTGTTTGGTATTCTGCTGTATTACAGATATACAACGCGTTTCCTTGGCTGGGACCTTGTATTAAAAACTGGAGGGATTTGATGAAACTGGTGGAGGACAGCATAAAGGAAACAAAGAGCATGATAGCTGACCTGAAGGAGACTCTGAACCCTGACATGTGCCGATGCTTTGTGGATGCATTCCAGACCCGTAAACTGAGTCTTGAGGTAATATGTCTAACTCCAGTGAAACCACCCCGGTTGATGATACTGATCACTGATTAATTTGCCTGTGGCCCTGAGAGATCCTCACACTGCAAATTAAGGAAACACATGCAAAAAGACACAACAGGGTAAGGCAAGGCAAGGCAAGGCAAGTTTATTTATATAGCACCTTTCAACACAAGGTAATTCAAAGTGCTTTACAAAAATGGAAGACATTTTAAAAATGGCATTTAAAATCAGTCATTAAAAAGGAAAGATAATAAAATAAACATTAAAAGAAAAAATACATGGATAAAAGTTAAAAGTTACAGTGCAGTTTAAGATGTGAATAGTTCAATTAAAAGCAGCGGCAAAAAGAAAAGTCTTCAGCCTGGATTTAAAAGTAGTAAGAGTTGCAGCGGACCTGCAGGTTTCTGGGAGTTTGTTCCAGATATTCGGAGCATAATAACTGAATGCTGCTTTACCATGTTTAGTTCTGACTCTGGGGACCGAAAGCTGACCAGTCCCTGAAGACCTGAGGGTTCTGGATGGTTCATAATTTAGCAGTAGGTCAGACATGTATTTTGGGCCTAAACCATTCAAAGCTTTATAAACCAGCAACAATATTTTGAAATCTATTCTTTGACACACAGGAAGCCAGTGTAAAGACTTCAGAACAGGAGTGATGTGATCCACTTTCTTAGTGTTAGTGAGGACTCGAGCAGCGGCGTTCTGAATTAGCTGCAGCTTTCTAATAGATTTGTTAGTGAGGCCTGTAAAGACACCATTGCAGTAGTCGAGTCTACTGAAGAGAAAAGCATGGACAAGTTTTTCCAAATCCTGCTGTGACATTAGTCCTTTAATCCTAGATATGTTCTTTAGGTGATAGTAGGCTGATTTAGTAACTGTTTTAATGTGACTGTTGAAACTCAGGTCAGAGTCCATGACTACACCTAGATTTCTGGTTTTATCTGTTGTTTTGAACATTGCAGACTGAAGCTCAGCGCTAACTTTTATACGTTCTGCCTTGGCTCCAAAAACCATTACCTCAGTTTTATCTTTGTTTAATTGGAGAAAGTTCTGACACATCCAGTCATTGATTTGTTCAATGCACTTACTCAGTGTTTGAATTGGAGCATAATCTCCTGGTGAAATTGTTACGTAAATTTGTGTGTCATCCGCATAGCTATGGTAACTTATTTTGTTGTTTTTCATTATCTGAGCCAGTGGTAGCATGTAGATGTTAAAGAGAAGAGGCCCCAAGATGGAGCCTTGAGGTACCCCACATGTCATATTTGTCAACTCAGATGTGTATTTACCTATAGAAACAAAGTTTTTTCTGTCCTTTAAGTAGGACTCAAACCAATTTAGAACTGTTGCCGAAAGTCCCACCCAGTTTTCTAGTCGGTCTAGTAATATGTTGTGGTCAACAGTGTCAAATGCAGCACTGAGATCTAATAATACTAACACTGAAGTTCTGCCACTGTCTGTGTTTAAGTGGATGTCATTGAAGACCTTTACAAGAGCAGTCTCAGTGCTGTGGTTTGGACGAAATCCTGACTGGAACACATCCAAACAGTTATTTAAATGCAAGAAGTTACTCAACTGTTGAAATACTACTTTTTCAATGATTTTACCTAGAAATGGCAGGTTTGATATTGGCCTGTAATTGTTCATTACTGAGGCATCTAGATTATTCTTTTTTAAGAGCGGTTTAATGACTGCAGTTTTCAGGGCCTCTGGAAAAATACCTGAGTGAAGAGATGTGTTTACTATATGAAGTAGATCTGAGGCCATGCAAGGAAAAACATCTTTGAAAAATCCTGTTGGAATAATATCAAGGCAGCAGGAGGAGGATTTCAGAAGTTGAATAATGTCCTCTAAGTTTTTACCATTAATCTGATGGAATTGTGTCATGGTGTTTGAATTGATATTAGGTGGACATAGGGACAAAACATTTGCTGTACCTGATGTAGAGGCACTGACTGCTTGTCTAATTTTCTGAATTTTGTCAGTGAAGAAGGAGGCAAAATCATTGCACGCCCTGGTGGATAGAAATTCAGAGGCTACTGACACTGGGGGGTTAGTTAGTCTGTCGACGGTAGCAAACAAGGCACGTGCGTTGTTTTTGTTTTTGGTAATGATGTCAGAGAAGAAAGACTGTCGTGCGTTTTTCAATTCCAAATTATAAAGGCCAAGTCTCTCTTTATAGATTTCAAAGTGAACCTGGAGATTTGTTTTTCGCCACCTACGTTCAGCTTTTCGACACTCTCTTTTTTCTGTTCTCACGGTCATGGCCTTTCTCCATGGAGATATTTTCTTGCTAATCACTTCCTTTACCTTAGTTGGAGCAATGGTATCTATAACATTTTTAATTTTTGAATTAAAATGATCTACTAGCTCATTTACTGAGATGTTAGCAGGGGCAAGTGTGGATGAGAAATTATGAGTAAACATTTCCCTAGTATTTTCAGTTAAATATCGCTTTGTGGTTACCTCTTTCTGAACATTTTTGTGAACAGAAATAGAGCTCTCAAAGAAAACACAGGAATGATCAGAGAGTGCAACATCAGTCACCACAACCTTTGAGATATTCAGACCCTTTGAGATAATTAAGTCCAGAGTGTGCCCCTTATTGTGCGTGGGCTCCGCCACATGCTGAGTCAGTCCATAGTTATCAAGAACACAAAACAGTTCTTTAGCCCCTCTGTCCTGGGGGTTGTCAACATGGATGTTAAAATCACCAACAATGACTAAACGGTCAAAGTCAATACACACTATAGACAGCAGTTCAGTAAAATCATCAAAAAAGCTTGCACAGTATTTGGGTGGTCTATAGATATTTAGGAACAGAGCTCGAGAGGAGCATTTCAGCTGAAGGGCCACATATTCAAAAGAAGCAAAGTCCCCATAAGATGTCTTCCTGCATTGAATGGAATCATTGAACAAAATAGCAACTCCACCCCCTTTCTTATGCATTCTTTCCTGACTCATAAAACTAAAGTTGGGAGGGGTTGATTCGATAAGAACAGCTGCACTGTTATTTTGTTCAATCCAAGTTTCCGTTAAAAACATAAAATCGAGATTGTGCTCAGTGATAAAATCATTGATTAAAAATGTTTTTCCTGCCAAAGACCTGACATTTAATAAAGCTAGTTTAAGTTTGTTAAATACACTATCAGTAAAACATTTTGTGGCAAGCTGTGGCTGACATGGAATCACTGCTAAATTTGATAACCTCACACAAACGTTTGAGCACTTCCTGTTTCTAAGCTGATTTACCGCTCTTAATCTATTACCTATCAACACAGATATCGGCAA